TTGTAAATAAACGTAATTTGTATGTAAAAACTACTGGTTTTCTGATTGGTCGGCTCAAGGTCAGTTGTGCGTTCAAATCCCACGAATCGTTACAGTTTAACTTTGTCAACCGGCGCATTACCACATGAGCTGGAATTCTCGGGTCATGATTTCACTGTATAGCATCATTTTAGTGTTACTGTAGGCAAATATACAGTCACCATGGAATTGTTGTACAATGACATTACTTATTATTCAAGGAACAGTATACTAGAAATCCTATAAATGTTGGAACATACATTATTTTGTTTCAAAGTTAAAACCTTTTTTCAGTAAATTGTCAGTAAGATTAAATTAATTTCTTGCAAAGTTAAATGTTGAAATTGGTTTATGTCTACAAAATCGTTTTCAAGGAAAATAGAATAAATTATTTAGACAAAAAAATACTGAATTAATTATTTTGGCTAGTAAAAGATACATACGTCGATGAGCACTAATTCTACAGACAAATGGACAAAAGTGTCTTCTTTTATCAAAGGAAAAGAGGAAACAGTCTTAAATAATTAAATAGGTTTCGTTGCAAAGTCATATCATTTAGAGAATCATCGGAAACCAAGGAGCACTAAACACCTGTTTCGTCCTAGTTTTGGGTTCTTCATCAGAACACTCGCATGGCCTCAACTGGAATTTACAGTGGGATAGAGTTCTGATGAAAAATCGTGACTAGTGGGATTCACCAAGTTGGATGGGAGGACGAATTCCCCTCTCCTCGCCCATCCGATGAAATAGGCAGATGGTGGCTTTATGCCGAAAACTGATAGAAGATAGAATAAGATGGCTGGAGGCAGTCGGCAGAAAGCCTTGGATCTAGGTTTCGTGCTAGTTGTCAGTCAGCATTCAGCAAGGCGTATCTATAAACTTGAAGGAACTCATGTCTCTTCTGAAATTCGAACCCGTGTCACCCAGTGCTACAGTCAGAGGTGTTACCACTGAGCTTTCGTCGTATTCATGGACCATAGGATTCCAAGTCAGTGAGTGAATAGTCTTTGGGTTTCGCCTGGTAACCTGAATGTCTTTGGTTTGATGTTCAGGGAGTAATGGATAAGTACTGCTGAGGAGTTCCGAACTGTGACAAAACAGGTATTCATCCCCCCCCCTTTGGTTATCTATGATTCTATAAGTGATGCGATTTCTTTGTGAAGTCTATCTCAAAATCAATGAAAGGTCCAAGAACCTAACACTTATAAATAAAATAAACTATTAGTGACAATTGTGCGTCGGTGGCACAGCGGTTAGGACGCTCGCCAACCATGCACATGGTCCGGGGTTCGATCCCCGACCGACGCACTCCTTTACCTTGCTAAGCCAGAAATAATGCTGGTGAAGAGGAAAGGTTGGGCATGAGGCTAGCAACCCCATCCTGTAAAATAAACACTGCTACAGAAACTTCAAGCCACTGGGAACATGAAGGAAAAAAAATAGTGGCAATAAAATGAAATGATGCAATTCAATGCAGACAGCATACAACAATTATTTAAAAAAATAAAGTATGTCAACTGTAAAACATTTAATTTCGTTTATTTTTCGTCATATGAACAGTTTTCATACTATGATCTTTATTACATTAACATTTCCAACAACAGAAAATTGCAAACAGTCTGAAAGAGAAAAAGCTGAATTGTCTTGTGAATAAGGATATTTATTTACAAAAAAAAATTGTGAAGTACATTTAAATATAAAAAATGCATCAACATAGTCTAGTTGAGATTTGTTGCTAGCCACCAATTCGAACCATTGGTCGATTTAAACTTGATGCAAGTTGAATAGCGCCTAAAAGTTATTTAATACAGCACAGAAATTATGAACAAAATTATATCAACTAAGACCTTTCGAAATAAAAATATTTACATTAGATTTCGAAAAAAATTAAATTAATGTGATACTAATGACCAAAATAAAGAAGACCTTTTTGCCTGATTAACCGGATGTAAAGAAAACACTACAATTTCTTTAGCTTTACAAAGACAATGTTCCTAATAAAATCGTATAAATAATTAGACTCCTTTCTCATACGTTTAAGTCCAAAAATATTAAATTAAGTGATCATGAATTATTCATTCAGACATCTAGAAAAAACAAAAAAAATTGAGCAAAGAATATCCTTTTCGATAATTTCCTCTTCTGGCTCTACAATTATATATACATGTTTGTATACATAGAATATTTTAAAATAGTCAGACACTGTCCTTACCTTGGCCATCAAGGTTCTAATGATCCTTAATTGGTTGTGGAAATTTCCTTAATTTTATTTGATATTCTATTTGCTATTATATTTTTATGCTTATTATAATTTATGCATCTTTAGTGAACTGCGATTCCATTGATCTCAACTACAGGAGGAACGGACGAAGATGTCAAGTCGAGAATCGGGAAGGCGAGAAACACATTCATCAACCTGAAACCAATCTGGAAATCTTCGTCACTCCCCAACATCAACAACAAAATTTGGATTTTCAACACAAACGTCAAGTCAGTTCTTCTATACGGATCAGAAACTTGGCGGATCACAAAGAATATTTCCAACAGCCTGTTGCAGACCTTTATCAACAACTGTCTTCGCTCTATATTGAAAATCAAATGGCCGGAAAGCATCAAAAACAAGAAACTATGCGAACAAACAAAACAAGAACCAATCGCCCAACAAATATGCAGGAGAAAGTGGAGATGGATTGGACACTCACTGGCTGAGGAGGCCGCTGGGTGACACCGTGCGTCAAGCCATAGCTCGAGTGGAACCCGAAAGGGGAGCGGCGAGTGGGATGTCCAAGGGTGACATGGAGGAGATCGTGTGAAGAGGAACTGAAACAATATGGACTAACATGGATGCAAGTGAAAAGTACAGTAGAAGACAGAAACAAGTGGAGACGTGCAGTTGAAGCCCTATGTTCCACTAGGAACTCAAGGGAACAATAATAATACTTAACAAATCGATAGTATTTAAAAACACTAATATTGTTAATGGTGTGTAATAGGAATGATTCAACACCTGTCCACTCAGATATCTGGAAAATTCTACTACCCCTACGACGACAAATAGAAGAGGACAAAGAAAACTATGAAAATCAAGTTTCGAAGTCGTGTGATTATAATTGATATGATTATAAACCACAGTGAATTGTGTTCGAAACGTCATCCAGTAAATATTACTGTTTCACTGTGTGATATATCTAATAAACAAACGAATGTTGAATTACTTACTATCACAGTGCCCAAGTTTTACACATATATTGATATGGAAAATCCTGATTCCAAACATACGGTGTACATAAGCTCCAGAATCCAAGCCGATCGAATGGTATACGTGAAGCTATTTTTGCCACCAGAAACCATGAGACCGCAGTTCTGGATGTTGCTCCACTGCCTCATCGACCAGATTTCCAGGGCTGTAAGGGTGGCCTCCTAAGACAACCACCTTCTCTGGTCTGGACGTTCTCAAGCAGTATCCCATTCCCCCTCACAAACTAACTATAAGTTATTGTGCTGCCCACCTTTTTGTGCCTATAATGTACCAACTTTGTGTGTTAATAAAATAAAATAGAAAATTTTCATGTTAACCTTAAGGGCGTGTTATCTCTCCGCTTATCTGTTGTGCATGTAATTTGTGGAGTAGTAACTACGAAAATGCTTCTTTATCACCTATCAGAATCTGTCCATTCAGAAATCCAGTATAAATAGTTAATAATATTTAGTGTGATGACAGTACACAGTCACTTAGAATTACTGAGTCAGTTTCCAGTTGTAAAGGTGAGCAGTATATATACAGAGTTCGGGGTTGTATTGACAAATTGCCAGAGCCCCCACCAAGAGGCAGGGATAGGTGTGTTCGGTTCTCCTGAAAACCAATACCCAGTCAATAGGTGTACCATTATGTGAATCAGCTTTTGTGCATGGCGGAGGCGCCGGCATTTCGTCAATACAACCCAGAAAACGTTTGTCCAGTCTCTTATTCTACCTTGGTCTTAACCTCTTCACTAGTCGTTCTCTGCAAAATATTTTAATATTTTTTTTTAATTTTAAATTTTACTTTTAGTTTGCTTTTACTTTAATAATTAATTCACTATTATCACCCTCATATGTTCCTTTTGTACATTTTCACACCCTCTTCACACTTGTTAAACTGACACTCAACTCCATTATGGATAAGATTTTTATTTTGATAAAACACACAGTGTTGTACAGTAATATTAACTGATGACGTTTCGAGCACAAACTATTGCCACTCATAATCATATCAAGTTATGATTATGCTCTACCACAGTGCCAAAGTTTTATACTTATATCAATGACACTCAACTGCTTTTATTCTCATTTAATAGCAATTTTAACCTCATCAAATTTCTAACTTTGTGCCGTTGAGTAAAACGTAATCTACAACTTTTATTTTTTCTTACCCCTAAAGCCACTTCCAAATAATTATATCAATTATGTCACCTCCTATTTCTCAATAATAGACTGCTTTACATCTTTGGTAAATATAAATACGACTGAACAGCTTCTGAAGATGATTTCATCGATAAAGAAAATTTTCTTCGCTGAATTTGCCTTTCATTTTCTTCATGACTTAATGGGTACTTTCACTTTTTGCCCGAGAAGATACCTAAATCACAAATTACTTCAATGGGCTAACGAAATGAGAGTCTATCTACTCACTGTGATTCATCAGTCTTCCATTGTAATAATGCTTGAAAGCACAAGTAAGCACTACGACCATTTGTGAACAACCTTGTAGAAAACTGTTTCCTGAGTTTGAATCTTAGCCTTCACTTATTTCAAAGTTGACCATACGACATTCTTACATATAGACGAAAGACTTTCTGTTGTATAAAAAGGTGAACCAGTTTTATTATCCTCATACAAAGAGTCCGTCATTTTGACAGTAAAGCAAGCTGCAATAATGATTATATCTCAACAAGATATAAAAAGTCATCAAATGCATAATCAACATATTGTGAAACGCTTACCTTTATGACTAGCAGATTTACTGGTTAAACTTTGATTCACAATTTTATCAAGTTGATCATAAATTGTATTTAATTCAGTCGTGTTATTTGGATTTAGCTTTTCTAGTTGAATAACACCTCCTTGGTCAATTGTTGTTGGATAGTTAAACTTTCGTAATATTTCCACTAAACTAACTTCATCATTTCCATGCAGACAAACTTTTAAATTTCCATCAGCTGTAAGACGCAGTCGTGAACAACCAGAACAGAAATTCTCTGTCATCGAGGTGATAAAACCAACTTTTCCCAACCATCCTGGGATTTGAAAAAGCTTTTAAAAAGGAAAATGAATAAATGGAGTGCAATTAATATAGGGAATTGGTTATATTCATGAAAGACATTTGGTGTGCTTATCTGGTAGCAGATAGGAACGCTTAAGGTGATATCTTGCTGAAATCTACTATCCAGTCTTAAGTTAAAGACAGTGTAAATCCTGGTTTTTACTGATAGATTTTATCATTTTCTTGGGTGAAATTATACTATCGTGGACAAAATCACAGTGATCTTGAAGAACTAATCAGAATTAAGATGAAAAAAATGCCCTAATTGCTAAAGAATGTATTACAATGGTCTCTTATCTGTTGTGAGAATTTCTCTCAACAACTCCAAGGAGAGTCCATAGAGAAATCATACCATGCACGACAGATGTATTCATCCAAGTGATTGTAGATTTTACTACTACTGTGGTGAGAGTTGTCTGCAAGCCGAAATTGCAGATAACAATTTACGTCAGTGTTTACGTCCCGAATCGGGGTCATGAGGAAAAACATAGGTCAAACTAGTAAGTCAGGGGTAGTCAGATTGTCAGGACATAAGAATTTAGCTAAGAAAAGAATGGTTGACCCAGAGAAGATAAGTAATTTAGAAAAAAGCTCAGCAATTGTACTACATGCAATAACACACAACCACACAATAGGGTGGGAGAGGGTTAAAATTCTAAAAAGCAATCTAGGTAGGTGGAGAGAGAGGTTGATTACTGAATCCTTGTTCATCGAATCTACACCCAACACATGCAATAGGAATGAATCATCACTCATACCCGAAATATGGAAAATATTACTACCAATCAAATCAAGTGAAAACAATGGAACTATATTGGTATTAGATGGTTGGAGGCAATCGGCAGGAAGCCTTGGACCTAGGTTTCGTGCTAGTTGGCACTCGTCAGCAAGGCGTATCTGCAACCTTGAAGGAACTGATGTCCCTTTTGAGATTCGAACCCGCGTCACCCAGTGCTGCAGTCAGAGACGTTACCACTGAGCTATTCAGGCTCGCGACTGACCTCCTGTAGGACCGTATTGGATATTTTTTTTTTAATTGAACACTAGTCAGTAACTAGTGTAATGTGTCTAGTCCTATCTTCGGTGCAGACTGAATTCTATCAGTCATGTTTGTAATGTGGCCACCATGCTAGGTGGCTCGCCATTACGGTGCACTGTGAATTATTGGTATTAGATGGTTGGAGGCAATCGGCAGGAAGCCTTGGACCTAGGTTTCGTGCTAGTTGGCACTCATCAGCAAGGCGTATCTGCAACCTTGAAGGAACTGATGTCCCTTCTGAGATTCGAACCCGCGTCACCCAGTGCTGCAGTCAGAGACGTTACCACTGAGCTATTCAGGCTCGCGACTGACCTCCTGTAGGACCGTATTGGATATTTTTTTTTTTAATTGAACACTAGTCAGTAACTAGTGTAATGTGTCTAGTCCTATCTTCGGTGCAGACTGAATTCTATCAGTCATGTTTGTAATGTGGCCACCATGCTAGGTGGCTCGCCATTACGGTGCACTGTGAATTATTGGTATTAGATGGTTGGAGGCAATCGGCAGGAAGCCTTGGACCTAGGTTTCGTGCTAGTTGGCACTCATCAGCAAGGCGTATCTGCAACCTTGAAGGAACTGATGTCCCTTCTGAGATTCGAACCCGCGTCACCCAGTGCTGCAGTCAGAGACGTTACCACTGAGCTATTCAGGCTCGCGACTGACCTCCTGTAGGACCGTATTGGATATTTTTTTTTTTTTTAATTGAACACTAGTCAGTAACTAGTGTAATGTGTCTAGTCCTATCTTCGGTGCAGACTGAATTCTATCAGTCATGTTTGTAATGTGGCCACCATGCTAGGTGGCTACATTACAAACATGACTGATAGAATTCAGTCTGCACCGAAGATAGGACTAGACACATTACACTAGTTACTGACTAGTGTTCAATTAAAAAATATCCAATACGGTCCTACAGGAGGTCAGTCGCGAGCCTGAATAGCTCAGTGGTAACGTCTCTGACTGCAGCACTGGGTGACGCGGGTTCGAATCTCAGAAGGGACATCAGTTCCTTCAAGGTTGCAGATACGCCTTGCTGATGAGTGCCAACTAGCACGAAACCTAGGTCCAAGGCTTCCTGCCGATTGCCTCCAACCAACTAATACCAATAATTCACAGTGCACCGTAATGGCGAGCCACCTAGCATGGTGGCCACATTACAAACATGACTGATAGAATTCAGTCTGCACCGAAGATAGGACTAGACACATTACACTAGTTACTGACTAGTGTTCAATTAAAAAAAAAATATCCAATACGGTCCTACAGGAGGTCAGTCGCGAGCCTGAATAGCTCAGTGGTAACGTCTCTGACTGCAGCACTGGGTGACGCGGGTTCGAATCTCAGAAGGGACATCAGTTCCTTCAAGGTTGCAGATACGCCTTGCTGATGAGTGCCAACTAGCACGAAACCTAGGTCCAAGGCTTCCTGCCGATTGCCTCCAACCATCTAATACCAATAATTCACAGTGCACCGTAATGGCGAGCCACCTAGCATGGTGGCCACATTACAAACATGACTGATAGAATTCAGTCTGCACCGAAGATAGGACTAGACACATTACACTAGTTACTGACTAGTGTTCAATTAAAAAAAAATATCCAATACGGTCCTACAGGAGGTCAGTCGCGAGCCTGAATAGCTCAGTGGTAACGTCTCTGACTGCAGCACTGGGTGACGCGGGTTCGAATCTCAGAAGGGACATCAGTTCCTTCAAGGTTGCAGATACGCCTTGCTGATGAGTGCCAACTAGCACGAAACCTAGGTCCAAGGCTTCCTGCCGATTGCCTCCAACCATCTAATACCAATAATTCACAGTGCACCGTAATGGCGAGCCACCTAGCATGGTGGCCACATTACAAACATGACTGATAGAATTCAGTCTGCACCGAAGATAGGACTAGACACATTACACTAGTTACTGACTAGTGTTCAATTAAAAAAAAAAAAAAATATCCAATACGGTCCTACAGGAGGTCAGTCGCGAGCCTGAATAGCTCAGTGGTAACGTCTCTGACTGCAGCACTGGGTGACGCGGGTTCGAATCTCAGAAGGGACATCAGTTCCTTCAAGGTTGCAGATACGCCTTGCTGATGAGTGCCAACTAGCACGAAACCTAGGTCCAAGGCTTCCTGCCGATTGCCTCCAACCATCTAATACCAATAATTCACAGTGCACCGTAATGGCGAGCCACCTAGCATGGTGGCCACATTACAAACATGACTGATAGAATTCAGTCTGCACCGAAGATAGGACTAGACACATTACACTAGTTACTGACTAGTGTTTAATTAAAAAAAAAAAAAATGGAACTATATAAATGAATTTAGGAAGTCGTGTGATTACCTTGATATGATTATGAGCAATAAATTGTGCTCGAAACGTCATCAGTAAACACTACTGTGTAAAACCGTGAGACTTTATCAAAATAAAATTTACCCATACTGGAATAAACATTGACGTCAATTAGTGCCTACCAAATTTGGCTAGCAGCCAGCTCTCACCACACTACTGCTATTACTACCACCCTATTAGTGTTAATGTCTTTGCTTTTTAGCCTATCCCCAACCCTAACCTTAAAACATACGTTAACCCTACCTAATAATATAAATTTACTCGGTCTTCATAGAACTCATTCACCAAATCCATAAAGTCAGACATGATTTGATACTGAATGACCTTTTTCAGCATTCCTTAAATCTGATTGAATCCTGGAGATCAGCTTTTGACAGACGTTGACTTTAGCTGTGATAACTTAACTTCACCTTTTATTGCTTACTTGAAAGTAATATTGAGGTTAATTAAATTCACAGTTTACACAGTCTGAGACGAAATCCTAGCACAGCTTCTTTTGGAAACCGAAATTACTTAAATCACAATATTTGATCTACTTGGTACCATAAAAGGTAATTAAGAAAAAAAAGTACAAATACATGACATTACATACTGCTGATTGATTGAGATGAGTAGCTGTATACTACTACTCACATCGACCAGTAGTGCTTGCTAGCCAGATCAAAGTGATCTGAATACCCTACGGCAGTTTCGCTCGTTTGGAGCTGAGCTCATCATCATCATCGAACTGAGCAGACCACTGATGAGCCCAGCTTCAAATGAGGGAAATCTGCTGTCTAGATAGCTTTCATCTAGCTAGCAAGCTGTGCTGTTTGGCATGAGTAGTTAACAACTATTTATCCCAATCGATTAGTGATTTATAGAGTCAGAGGTATCTCTGACGAGTATTTTACTTTAATTTCCAAGTAGGATTCATAAGTTTTTATGCTGAGACCAGCTAACTGAATATTTATATCTAATCATTGAATATTAAAATGGCTTGTTAAAAAATATCTTGTATCCTTTAAATACTACAATGTCATCACAACATTTTTGTACACTAAGGTTATTTCAGTGGATAGTAAAATGTCTAAAAAGAAAGATGTCAAAACTCAGGAAAAACAAGACAATTTTAGCTACACATTTCTTCTATGAGTAAATTCTGATTAAAAGCTCTTCCAACAGGAATGCAGAATATTTAACTTAAGAGAGAATGAATCACAGCAAACGGGTTTTTGGATACTAAAAACACGGGCCGAATGGCACTTAACCAGACCGACACCTGGCTCACCCATCTTATGATCATTAATCATACTGTGACTTTGATATTCTCCAATGAGACCTACATCAACAGAAACTAATACCTCATGACAGTACTGTAAGATGAAGTTCAGCATTTTACTGGTCTAAAGAATACTGCCAGTCAAATTAGTGACTTCATCAACGAATTAAGTCAGTAAACTGACTAGTCAGGTTACCAGCATTTCTCTGTCTATACCAGTTAGAAATGTTATCTATTACAGTGCGTCTTCGTTCATAAACACTTCACCAGGGACATCAATCATTATAACATGGTAGACTGTGTTAGGATCATCGTAAGTGAGAAATTTCACTTATCCATTTCAATTACTTATCCATGTCCACTCTTATTGGAATTCAAATCCCTCCTTGATGTGTCACCTCAGCTCACTGATTTACTCATAAATCTTAGGCTAATAAGTGGACAATATATATCTTTCCATTTTTATGATATTATGAAATGCACTTAGAAATCAGTCGGTTCAACTAATTGATTGGCTCATTAACTTTCAGTCTGATTTCGTTGTTCATAATCATCACTAAACTAGCCAATAAGAAGGATTAAATGAATAGAAAAGGGATTGATTATAGCCAGTAAATGGAAATCTGTTGATAAACTTAATTTTGGTTGGCACTTATGATGACGAGAGTTACAGTGATCTAATTATCAATAAACAAATAGAACCATTTAATCAACGGATCAAATCAAGCAGAACCATTCGAATATTCCTTACAAAAGTGACTGTGAGGCAATGCTCCTTGAAAACAATATTTGTAAACAGAGAGCCTACATACATCAAGTGATAACAATATTTACTTAACATAATTTATAATGAACGGGATACATTGTAAAATCATTTGATCTACTTCTTCCCCATCGTTCCAATGGACTTAACTAATTCAGGGCGGTTTCAATTTGTGTTATTCAAGCCATCATGTTTTACTTTCTATGAGTTCGCGTTCCCAGTTAACCCATTTTTTGAAATATGCCTGAAATCTGGCTTTCGCTCATTATAGCGATAGTGAAGAAAGTGAGACAGTTTTTGGAGAGTATCAGTATAAGGTAAACTAATTTGACCTCCAAGAAGAAACACTATCTTCCAGTTATTTTAACTCAATAAAGCCATATTAGCTTAATTGAACTTTTCATCTGAGCAGTTACATCATTTATTAATTTTAATATTTAATAGAATACTCACCTTGGCTACATCGGATGGTTTACCGCATAGAGGAGTTAAATTTGGATATGAATTTTGTATAATATTGAGCATTTCTTTATATGAGACTAACTTGGACATTTCCCAATTGTTACCAGAAAATGGCATATATTCAATAAATCTAACTTCAATAGGCTGAAGAAATCAGTGGTAGAACAAAATCAGTAATAATATAATCAATATAAGTGTTACAAATTCAAAATTTTTATTCAAGTGTTTGTTTGTAGGGATTTGATTGGTCACAGGATTTTCATCATCAGCTGACATTAGTTAGAGAACCATTGGAAAACCTGGGAGTACTGGACAGCTGTTTCGTTCTAGTTTGGGACTCTTCAACAGTACGCACCCACCGCCAGAGTTTGAACCCAGGACCTTCTGGTTACAAGGCGAGCTCGTATACCATTAAGCCACTGGGACCCGATCCAATGGTCCATGAATTCTAACTTCTGCCAATTCAGGAAAGCTGTCCAATACTCCCAGGTTTTCCAATGGTTCTCTAACTAATGTCAGCTCATGATGAAAATCCTGTAATCAAAAATTTTAGTATTTTTAAGGAACACAGAAAAGTAGACTACGAAGTCGAGCAGAGTTACTCATACCTTAAACGGGTGAATACAAACAGCATTAGTTTTCTTTTTTACGATACTCACTTACAGTATGTTATTGAAATATAAAATATATTGTATTTTCTTTCTTTGGCTGTAAAATATACAATTTGATACCATTGTGCATTGTACAATCAGTTTTAAACTGATTTATGTAATGAGCAATAATTGAAGGAGAAGTGGAAAACTGAAATCACAGCAAGATTTGAAGCAACTGCTTCCGAATTAAGACGCCAAATAATGCTGACTGACTGATATAAGTAGTTGAATGCCGCCAATATCAATCTGTAGCGCTTGCTGGTCAGATAGGAGTGACTGGTTCATCATCACAATTACTCATGCCTACCAATCAGTAGCATATATAGTCATGCATTTATGCTTACCAATCATGTTATCAAGCAGATCGTATATTGTGATCTGAATAATTTAGGTTTCCAATGGATAGTATTGTGAAATTTGACCTGGAAATGTGTAAATTGCAAATTGTGAATCTGCCTCTGAATTATTCATCCAGGGCTCTGATAACCACGTCATTATTTCACTGCGATCATTGCGATTAATATTCAACTGTCTCGTGAATGAACGATACGTTAATGTCCGTTTATAGTTAAACTAGCTATCCAGATAGATCTTTTTCTGCCAATTCTAATCCTTCTGAATTAGAAAGAGAGCAGCGGATTGTTAATTGATGGTGAGAGAATGTCTGGAGGTAGCCTTAGGTTTACGTGACAGAGATTTTAATTCCACTTTTAATTACTACCCATTACCTTAATAGTAGTCTGCAATGACGGTTTTTATACATCATACTTGCACTGTGTCGGTTATGTAAAATGATTGTATAAATAGCTGTAACTCCTGGTCATTAGCATTCATTCCTGTGATCTGAGTTTTCTCAGTGATGGAATGGTATTCGAGTGGTCAGTCATATACTGTAGCGTGTTGATTTATGAAGGAGGTTAATCACAGTCTTCCCAGTTCACAACCAGTCAACTGGAAGGGACCAAACTCTAGTATTACCCGGCCGCCTCAGCTGGATATATTGTGGATATCAGATTATAAGCTTCACTGGAAATTGATGAATACGACGTATGTAAGTGTTTAAATCTTATAATACGAATGATCAGGCTGTCATTTTCAGTGTCACTACTAACAGTTACTCATTTTTGTATGACCGAATGGCGTTATTAATTATTATTATCCCTTCAAGTTTTGAGTGGAACATACAGCTTCAACAACACATCTCCATTTCATCCAGTTCTCTTCACCTGGCTCCGCGACTGCTTATAAACCCTCATCCCCTCCTCACACAATTACCTTCATATCACCCTAGGACATTCAACTCGTCATTTCCCATTAGGATTCCATCCCAGCACCTGACACTTCATGTCACTCAACGGTATCTTCAGCTTATTGGGCGATAGGTGTTTGGTTGATTGGTTCATTGTCAGAGACTTTTTGCCAATCCTTTCCAGTCATCTTATCTTCAGAATGGAGAAAAGGAAGCTGTTAATAAAAGTCTGAAACCTTTTGGCGTTCATGGTGGTAACTGTAAATTATTTGACCACATATTTTCATATATATCACTGTCCTGTGTTTATGTAATCGTTTTGTTGAGATAACATATCAGTGTAAAAAGTGTAAAGTATTTTAAAGGTGTAGATCTGATTCACGGAACGATTTCACTTCAGACTGTATCGGACTTTGAGCATGGTCCCTTTCACTTCCTAACATGCAGATTTTATGAATATATATCGTATTATTATTATTCCCTTGGGTTCTGAGTGGCACACACGACTTCAACAACACATCTCCACTTTGCACCATTTTCTGCTGTTCTCTTCACCTGGGTCCACAGTTGTGCATAATCTCTCATCTTCTCCTCACCACACGATCTCCTCCATGTCACCCTCGCACCGACGATCCACTCGTCGCTTCCCATTGGGATTCCATCCGAGCGATCGCCTGCATTGAGAGCGATATCATTCGATGGCTTCCTCAAACTATGCCCAATCCATCCATCTCCATTTACTCCTACATATTTGTTGAGCAGCCGGCTCTTGGTTGGTTTGTTCTCAGTCAGAGTTTCTTGTTGCTGATTCACTCTGGCCGGCCAACCGGCCATTCGATCTTCAGTATGGTGCCAGCCAGCGAAGAGGATAGCTGTTGACAGAAGTCTGTAACTTGTTGGAAATCCTTTTCTTGACAAGCTGGTCAAGTTTCTGACCCATACAGAAGTGATTGATTGACTTCACACTTGTGTTGAACACAATCCGAATCATGTTCTTTATTCTGGCTGAGTGAGAACGGAAGATTTCCAAACTGGTTTCAGATTGATGAAGGTGTATGTGATGTTGCCCTTCCGATTCTGGTTGGCCATCTTTGACATCTCATCCGTTCCGCAGGCCTTCGGTTGAAACGATGCTGGCCCCCTAGATAAGTGAAGGAAGTAACCTCTGTTAAATCTCTCCCGTTGATGGTGATTGGTGCTGGTTGTTTTTGCTGTTGCTGTTAATTGGTTATCTTCATCACTTCCGTCTCCTCTATCATCTCCTGGATTCCTGTATTCACTGGGTGCTTCTTCAGCTAATTTGTTAGTTTTCGCGTGTAAGTCTTCGAGTTCGCGCGACATTAAACGGAAATCATTCGTGAATGTATATCTATCATGAGTTAACTAAATACATGCGAATTAATTGCTATAATGAAACTTAAGCAGTTTACCGATAACTTAATTTGATTCATTTAACCGAGTTATGCATTCATGAGTAAGATGTATTCAAACAGTCGAAACAGTTAAGCCTATCTACTTCAATCATTACAAACTGTCTATTACAATCAGATAATTTGCATTGCTAATTACACACTCTATGTATTAGTTACCAAATGATTATGCCAAAAAAAGTATATTAGTTCGAGACAGATATACTACTGAATGTTTGTTTTGTATGAATATTTAATTATGTCACTGATATATCTAACAGACGATGATATGTAGACTTAATAAGGTGGTTTCTAAAGGTCAAATGGTTGATATCATTTAGTTTCTCTAAGAAAATCAGAGTGACTAATTGTGAAGGCAGTAATCAGCTTACATTTTGTACCAATATATATTGCTTCTTCTTTAATGACTCAACGAATTCAGTCGATGATTACCACTTTGGAGGCCGCTGGTTCATATCCTGTAGCATTACTTCACTGCTAGTCTGACCATCGAACACTGTCTGAAAGAGTCTCACCTGTATTCTGGTGAATGCAAAATACAACTGTCAGCCGAATTCATTTAGACAGGCATTTTACAGGATTTTCATCATGAGCTGACATTAGTTAGAGAACTATTGGAAAACCTGGGAGTACTGGTTTTCCAATGGTTCTCTAACTAATGTTAGCTCATGATGAAAATCCTGTAACCAATCAAATCCCTACAAACCAACACTTGAATAGACAGGCATTTATTGGTCTAAATTCATTGTGGACATCTGAAGCATCTAGCACAAGAAATAACATCCGAATTTTTAACTAATACTAAGTCAGTACTCCTATTTAGTACAGAGACTTGACATGAGCATCAACAAAAGCATTTCCAACAGTCTGTAGACGATTACCAACAGGGAACTGGTAGTATAAACGGCCAACAACCGATTTCCCAACAAATAGGCTTAAGGAAACAGATGAGGGTTGGAAATAAACTCAGGAGATATTCAAATGACATCATGCATCAAATCTGACTCCAACGGAACCTGAAACGGAATGGACAGGCCACAAGTCTGAGAATGACATGAAGACGATTACATCAAAGGAAAATTAGGGCTTGAGGGCAGTCATGAAGCCAACTGGAAATGGTTTCGGAGAATAAAGTACAATAAACAGATACTGCTCAAGTCTTGTGTCTATCTGGGGACCCAAAGAATGAATAGTAGCAACAATGATTTAGTTTTTCATCCTTTCCAATTTATCCCATTTTGGAATACATGTAAGTTACGATGAATACAACTTTGTATATCGTTTATTCATTCAAACGATTGGAGGCAAGCAGAATGAGAACGAATATTTTCAATGATTAAATTTGTTTTAGATAATCCGAGTTTCGGGAACAATTTTAAAGTTACTTTCACAATCATCACGTACTCCAGAACTTTCCTTTTTTTGCCCATCTATCTTTCTTGTATTACTACTTCTACACAAGCTAAGAAAATTTTACCTATTAATAGACGTATAGTAAGAGTGAAACATTCAGATGTACAAATCTATCTCATATTCGAGATGTTACAGGAGTCAATTCAGTTTATTTTCAGTGGGATTGTAAAGCGAATCACAATAAATTAAAAATATAGACAGAGTGAAAATTTCCTAAGGCATTTCAGGTGATTAGTATACATATGATTGTGTAATGCAATAGTGGCTGGTTTCAACGTAGAACTTTGCACAGATGTCCAGAAGTTCGAGTTGCCACTCTCCCTCCATGTAACACATTAAGCAAGAGAAGAGAGTAAAGAAAGATTCAAAAGAGAGATAATAAACAGAAATATGAGGCGAAAAAGAATAGTAATATGGAAGACCAGTAGATTTTTATTGGATATTATAAATCACAAAGAGTGAATGCATCTGCACCAGCTATTGAGAACAATTTTGAGCCATATCACCAATTTTCTCCGGTCATCGGTTTATACCATGCGGAGAGCCTCAACCGTCTGGGTTGATGCAACTTCACAACCTCGTCTATTGATTTCCCCTCCTTACCTAGCAGTCGACGCCTGAATTCAATATTGCTGAACTTGTTATACCACCTAACACAGGAGATAGAACGCAGGCACCTATGATCAAAGACAGTTAGCCTTTTCACATCTTCCACTTTCAGTGGCCATGTCTCAGAGTCGGGAAAGAAGGACAGAGCGAACTGCTAAGCAGTACACAAATCCTTTGGTCGACAGCCAGATATCACGTCTACTACAGAGAAGGCGTTATTTGGTATATACCAAACGAGTCATCTGTATCCACTTTGGGATTTCGTCAGTGATCAACTCGTTGGGGCTGATGTAGCTTCCCAGATAAGTAAAGTGGTCAACACACTCTACTACTTCACTCCCTATTTCGAAGCTAGGAGTCACTGTAGCACAGTCCTGTAGCATCATTGCACATTTATTATTATTATTATTGTTCCCTTGGGTTCCTAGTGGAACATAGGGCTTCAAATGCACGCCTCCACTTGTTTCTGTCTTCTGCTGTACTTTTCACCTGCATCCATGTTAGTCCATACTGTTTCACCTCCTCTTCACACGATCGCCTCCATGTCACCCTTGGACGTCCCACTCTCCGCTTCCATGTCGGGTTCCACTCGAGCACTGGCCTGACGCGCGATGTCACCCAACGGCCTCCTCAGCGAGTGTCCAATCCATCTCCACTTTCTCCTGCATATTTGTTGGGCGATTGGTTCTTGTTTTGTTTGTTCCCATAGTTTCTTGTTGGTGATTCTTTCCGGCCATCTGATCTTCAGTGTAGAACGAAGACAGTTGTTGATAAAGGTCTGCAACAGGCTGTTGGAAATATTCTTCGTGACCCGCCAAGTTTCTGATCCGTATAGAAGAACTGACTGACTTGACGTTTGTATTGAAAATCCGAATCATTTTGTTGTTGATGCAGGCTGAGTGACGAAGATTTCCAGATTGGTTTCAGGTTGATGAATGTGTTTCTCGCCATTCCGATTCTCGATTTGACATCCTCGTCCGTTCCTCCTGTAGTTGAGACAATGCTCCCTAGATAAGTGAATGAAGTAACCTCTTTCAAATCCCTCCCGTTGATGGTGATTGGCGCTGGATGTTACCGCTGTTGTTGTTGTTGGTTGGTTATAATAATAATAATAATAATTCTAAGTCAACGAGATTATTCCCTGGTAGCAAGTCAATCCCTCAGTCTCTGAAGTGAGTTACGGTCAAGTTCCTTAGTACATCTATGATGAAATTGAATAGAAATGGGAATAGTGGGCAGCCCTGACGGACACCACTAGTTGTCACCACTTCAGATGACAACTCACCGTAAGCTCTCACCTGGCTGCATGAGTTTGAGTATTTCATCGACATTCCCTTTACAGCCACGCATCGCTAGAGTACCTGTCAGTTGACGGAATCGAATGCCGCTTTCAGGTCTAGAAATATAACGACTGGATACAGGGTTTCATCATGAGTTGACATGGGTTAGAGAACCATTGGAAAACCTGAGAGTACCGGACATCTGTTTCGTCCTAGTTTGGGACCCTTCCGCAGTACCTACCCACCGGTGTTCGAACCCAGGACCTTCTGGTTACAAGGTAAGCTCGTAGACCAATGTCAGCTAATGATGAAATCCTGTAGCCAATCATTCAAATCCCTACACACCAACACTTGAATATCGATGAGATGCTCACTGGCGACTTGTCTGGGGTTCTAGTGGGAAGTCGTGACCAGTAGGGTGCAGTAGGTCGTCTGTGAGGACAAATACTCGCCGAAGACATTGGCTAGCGGTCGCGCTATGTTGTGAATTGGCAGAAGTTAGAATTCACGGGTCACTGGATTCTGGCCTAAATGGTTGAATGGTCAATAAGCCTGGCCTCGTAAGCTGAATGTCCCAGGTTCAACCTCCGGTGAAGGGCGTTAGTGTGCATTACTGAAGGGTCTAAAACGAGAGCGAAAAAGCTGTTAAGTGTTCTTCGGTTCTGAATGGTTCTCCAGGTCATGTTAGTTCGTTATTAAGTCTAGATTTGAATTAATCCAAGCTCGTTCAAAACTCATAATCGCAATTCAAGAGAACTGTTTCAATAATATAAGCAGACAATTATCTTTTCATTCAGTAACATATAATGAAATATTAACTATGTGAAGCAAGACTTTTCACGCTAAAAAAGAGCATTTGGGAAATTTTGAAATATTGTCTAAGTAAAGCAAAGCAAAAAATGAGGCTTCTTAGTCAGCTGGTAAATTTGAAAGTTATAAATATGTCTACTTTCATGCCCCGATTTAAATAACTAGAGAAATTAGTGAGCAAAATCTCATAACTGATAATGGAATGATCAAGCTGTTTTGAAATGTACTTACAAAAGTCAACTGAATGTGCGTCGGTGGCACAGTGGTTAGGACGCTAGACGACCATGCACATGGTCCCGGGTTCGATCCCTGGCCGCCGCACACCTGATATTAATGGTCAACCTGCTAAATTTGGGCTACCGATATCACTTGCTGAAAATTTCATAGCTGTACCATCTGGATGCAACTGCATCCTCAGTGAGTGATGGTGTCCCCACTGAAATTTCGAACCCAACATTCATCGTTTCAAACGGCAAAACATTTCCTGTTGGTCCACTGACTATGAGAGTCACTTCTAGTGCCAACATCTTAACAGAAACCGAGAATTTCAGGATACATAAAAGTAACATGAACAAGTGGCTTTATCTTTATTTTAAATAACTATTAATTAAGAAATTGTAACTAAAAATGTGAACACTACGCCATTTTCTAATTCACTGATTGATTTAAACAAATTGAAATTCACTAAGAGAACTTACTAAATATCGTGTTAATTCAACAAAGTCGCATAATTCGTCATCATTGAAATTTCTCATCACTACACAGTTAACCTGTAAAATGAAAATATAAGGGAATACGTAATTTGGAACACTAATACTATCAATAACAGTATTCTTCGAAAAAGCAAACACAATGAGATGCAACGACTAGGAGTTTCTGTGTGGATGCCATCAACTGAAAACTCTGACTGATTACTGGTTATGCTAGTAGTCATCTGTAATAAAAAACGCTAAGTATAATGCAACTGGAGCATATTCTTTTTAAATCCCGAGATGTTTGAAGATCTGGTAAAATTTAGACTAGATTTTGTTACCAACTGATAGACATCTAGACCAAAAATCGTGGTCTAAAACTTTTCAGAAGTATGCATCTACAAGATTTCAATCGTTAGTCATCAAGTAAAGATTTTTTTTAATGCTCAACTTAGGTCTTTCAAAAACTGTTAGCAGATTTATATTCATAACTACTTCGTAACGAAGATAAAATATCATATCGCTAAGTGATTCCTTCAAAACAGGTAGACTATGTCGATACAGATGCTGCCAAATTTTAGGAGTCGCAAACAGTAATCACTGTTAGTTTTTTGTCAGGAAATCTGACTTAAATACCCTGAATGTTGTTTGGTAGATGGGCTGTTAGCAGCAGAATCCAGGACTCACCACTTGATTTTACTGTGAATATACCAGCTGAAAGTAACTTTAACCCCATTGAATGACAGCGTTCTGAATGGTACTCAAACACAACATCTATAATTTCGAATGCCAAAGAGTTTCCGCTAGGTGGCTGGGCTACGAGAACCACCTGTTGTATCCCTTGGTATTGTTGTATTTTCATCCAGTAGAATCAATCAAGGGGAGGTTCTACCTTTGAACCAAAGGCACATTACAAGAAATAGTTATACACAATTAATTTAAATACATTCTTTGGGTGAAAACCTAACTTCAAACAAATACAATTTCTTTGACAAAAAAAACTAACTAACTACTTGAAAATTTAATCTGTGATATTGTGTATGAATTTTTTATTTTCATATATAGTATAGTCACTAACGTTTATCAATTTCTCACAAAATCAAACAACACCGGTGAGATGAGGGGATATTAAATGCATGGAATTAAATTACAAATGGAATTTCCTTGATTTTTCTACTGACTAAAAGTCATAACTTTTAAAGTCGGATAAAGTGAAATATACGATAAGCTGGATTACATCAAACTGCAATATCTTCACTTCATATCACCATATATATACAATATATTTCTAGGTGACTAGCACTCACTTGATGACTCTCAGATTGTATATTCTGCCCAACATCAATTGCAGTTTTAACTACTAACCCATTATTATTTATTAGTCATTCTTAGCGCCCCTAGCGAAACATAGGGCTTCAATGACCTATTTCAATTGCACTAGGTTCTCTGCAATCACTTTCAGCTGGCTCCACTAGTGCCAGCTGAAGTTTCTGTTTCTTTTTCACATGACCTTCTCCATGTCACTTTCTGCCTCCCATTCAGGGGCCTGGTGTGTGATATCACTTGAATATCTCCTTAATGTACGTCAAATCCACCACCATTTTCTTCCATATATTTGTATGACGATAGGTTGTTGGCTGGTTTGCTGTTAGAGCTCCATTTTGTTTATTCTTTCTGATTATGTGGCATTCAATATGACTAACGCATGGAGTCATGAAGCTTTCGCTACATATTCGTAAAATCATAATGTCAAGTATAATTACTTCCAAAATACTCCTTGATGTTGTTTTTAAAACCCTGAAAGGGTTGGAATTGTAAACAATCCGCCAAAATAAAACAAAGGGTAAGCCTTGCTGCATTATTTCTTATAATAATAGGTTTTTAAAATAAAATATTTCTTCCCAGATTAGTAGATTAAGTATTTTTTTAAAAATTTTGCAGTCACATCACTCATCCCGTCCTACTCATATATATACAATAATAATAATAATAATTTTGACAATTAATGTTGAACGTACGTATTTTAAGTGAGATAAGCAAACTCAGAGTCGCACTGTACTATATTTCAATAGAGAAAACCAAAAGTATGAGTGGTATACAAGAAATTCTTTGCATAGTTAACACTTTTGACTAGTGAACTTCCCAGCCTTAAATATGTATGGGATCAAAGAAGTTGGTGAATTTAAATGAGTTTCAGATCTTTCACTTTTAGAGATCAGTTTCTTCATTTGTACCGATGATGTGCAAATAAGACACACTGAGGATCACTGGATTTTCATGAAACATGAGCATGGTTGCTTTGGTGTGGTGTGATTATATATTCCCCATATTCTTTCCATACAATCGCTAACAGATTTATCTCTGAACAGCCGTAAGTATTATATTCTTCCTTAACTAGTTGGGGCCGTGTCAGCAGTGGCTTGGCCTCCAGACTAGGTGTGCCACGTTAATAAATAGGCAAACTGTGTAACTAAAGTGCAGGTTTAGCAGCGTATCTAACCACACAACAATCATGAATGTTATTTCTAGTTGAGGCCAACAAGAATAGAATGGAAGTAGTTCAAATAGCGTAATTAACTAGTCTTCCAGAGATACATACTGCACTTTACTGTGAAACTCGAGGAATTTCAATGAATATAAAAGCATAGTGGCTCTGTAGTTATTGATTCAATGAATGAAAAGAACTCCTAAACATGCAGTTACATTTCCAACATATCTTACAGAATGATGTAAGGCTTAAGTCTATATTTAGGAATACAAAACGATGTGCTTGATTAGTTGTACAATGTCGATCATTCAAAGATTTTTAATATCCTAATTACAACACGAATAAGAAAAGTTCATTTCATAGTCACACTGCTTATAGCGACAAACAGTTATCTGAATACAATTAAGCAGATTAGGCAAATAGATTGATATTCCATTTTACGATAATCTACAGTATCTGGTAAAGGTCAATTCATCATTGAGTCATATTGTTTCAAAATTATTTGATCACGTTGGATAAGTTACTTATATATATATATATATATATATATATATACTACTTACCTTAACCCTTTCAAATCCAGTTTCAACTGCTTTTATTATAGCAGCCATTGAATGCTTGAATGTAGCTTGTCCAGTTAAATTTAATACTCGTTCAGATTTTAAACTATCCAAACTAATATTGACAGAATTCAATCCACTCTCTTTCAATGCCACAGCGTTTCGCTTAAACTTTACTCCATTTGTGGTCATGCCTATTTCAGTGAAGTGTTTGTGTTCACATTTTAAATAATTTAAAGATTCTTATATTCAAAAAAGTAGGTTTGAAATTTTGAATTACACACTTATAATTTGAAGTAAATCTGGTCGCATGGATGGTTCACCACCAGTTAGTCGGATTTTTCGTACACCACGGCGGCAGAAATAATCAGCAAGAAATATAATTTCCTTTGATTGAATCATGTTTGCAGAATTTTTATTTTTATGCATATAACCATCTGGCATACAGTATAAGCCTTCACATATATCCAATGAGGATAGTTTTTTATTCCATTATTATTCTTTGACTTACATTTTAAATTACATTTCTCTGTTAAAGAAATTCGTAAATAATCATGAATTCTGCCGAAGTTATCAACTAGCCTCGAAAATTTTTTAACGTGCTCCGTCATTTACAAGCAGCTTGTGAAATTTGAATGAAATCAACCGAATATAAATGTCTGTCATTTGATTGGCTGAAGCAGACAGCCAATAAACGTACAGATTACACAAAAAGATCAATACTTGCTGCCTTAGCAGTCAATTTAGCTTCTCACACAATTTAATGAAGAAAAAGCTTTGGCGAATATGATGAAATGCATGTCTTACTAAACTAATGTCAGTCTGCACTACACAGCTAGATACAGCTTTATTCGGTTATGTTCATTGTTGACTAGATCAAGAGGAAATTTTCCACATTTACATCAACTATCCGACATTTTCTAGAAGGGGTTACAGTATTTGTGGGACAAATGCTGAATGCTTCATTTTCCATCTTATTTAGCTACATTTCATTAACGCTAATGCGAATACAATGAACTGGTGCATGCAGAAATTATTATTTACCGAATCTTTATATTTAGCAGCATCCATCTCCATTTTTTTCAGTTAATTCTGTATTTGAATGGTAATATTTGATTGAAATGACTGGTTTTCAGTGACATATGGGCTCCTAGTGATGGACGCTTCTACGCTGTCTGAAGTTTAACATGGTGTTATTTGGGCTGATGGTGACTAGCAGTGGAATCTAGAATGCTCATTTAGTCCTATTCGTGACTGGTCACCTGGCCGTATCTACACTCCCATTGAGTGATCGTGTTCTTACTGAGACTCGCACCCAACGGCTGATGTTTCAAACGCGAGAGAGTTATCCGCTAGACTACTTTGTCCAGTGTAACCAATTAGCGAAAAGCACGAAATCAACATCAATGAATAATAACTGATACCTTATGCAGAAGAGGGTGTTCTCATGACCCATGGGGTCTACAGGAAAATCCTTTTGGGTTTGAAATGATGGGTGTTGTGTTCTTGTCTCAGTGTTCACACCATAACTCATTGGAAACGTAGATACATCTACTCGAAGAGTCTCAAATAGGGCGAAATATGAACTCCGGATGTCACCGCTTGTCTCCATACAACAAATTATATTTACTGATGAAAGTTCACTATCCTTCTATAGAATTCTGCAAGCAGAACTGATGTTGATTGACTGAAAATACTCACAAAGTAAAATCTAAACAAACTCAGTTATGAAATGTTAATATTTGATTTTGAAACTCAGATTTTAGAATATTAAAACAAAAACTTTCATTTAGATTTTATTGTATATGGAGATCATAGTTACGCTAGATTTCGCGCTTGACGCTAAAATGAAGAAGGCAATTCAATTAAACAACCAATGTAAGTGAACAATATTGTTTTCAGTTAGATCTCATTAGGCTTAGCTCTAATATGCCTACATAACTTTACAAATAAAAATTCGAATATAAACCAATCATGGTGTTTTGTCTATAGGATAATAAGATGGTGAACATAAATTGTGCAATTGGTCATAACAGTTGTAGTAATAATAATAATCATAATGGTTTTATCAATAACAAGGATGAAAAAGTGAGGCGATCTGTGATAACACGAATAACGAAAAACAGCGTGATTAAACCAACAAATTTTCAGGTGGAAGTAGTCGATAAGGGCTAAGAAAAACAAATGAACCGATTACGTAATGCTAGATTGTAAGGGGAGTAAATGAAACACGTTTTTAATGAAGATGTGATAAGATTAAGGGATGATAGGAGAGGGGTTGAAAATATAAGTAAGACGTGGTGTAGAAGTCATTAGTTGGTCATGTCTTAATGGGCTAAGGGGGGGGGGTAATGGCTGTACGAACTTCTTTTGAATGCATAGTTTAGGTTTAATAGTTCGAATGTCTATCGCCTGAGCTGTGTGCAGTAGACGAATACGAAGTCTATTGGAAAGACTCGGTGGGATACGACAAATTACTCTGAAAGCTGTTATCTTCACTACTACATGACCACTATCAACTAAATGTGACGAAATTGAGCTACGGATTGTTTTTGTCTATCCTTTGCCAAACCACGATGGCAAATGTTCACTAACACGTTGGCTAAGCTGTCTAGTAGTACGCCCAATATAACTGTCACCGCAGGTGCAGTTGAATTGATAAATGCACATAGATGTGTCAAAACTATCTAGCTTATCCTTCGTTTGTGTCCCAATCATTCGTCGACTAGAGAATGACAAACATAGGTATGCTGCGTAAAACGTTCTTTGTATACTCCTGGAAAGTCTCTGGAATAAAATCTCACTTGATAAGTCACCATTAAATTGTAACTTAACAAATAGAGCTTTTTTACCTGCAGTCATAGTCTCAAGTTTTATCTCTGATGTTTTAATATGCTTCTTTATGAAACTACTCGGATAGCCCATCTATGTCAAGGAATCGTGAATCGAGAGCTTTCAAAGTAATTCATCGTATCCCACCGAATCTTTCCAATAGACTTTGTATTCGTCTACTGCACACAGCTCAGGCGATAGACATTCGAACTATTAAACCTAAACTATGCATTCAAAAGAAGTTCGTACAGCCATTACCCCCCCCCCCCTTAGCCCATTAAGACATGACCAACTAATGACTTCTACACCACGTCTTACTTATATTTTCAACCCTTCTCCTATCATCCCTTAATCTTATCACATCTTCATTAAAAACGTGTTTCATTTACTCCCCTTACAATCTAGCATTACGTAATCGGTTCATTTGTTTTTCTTAGCCCTTATCGACTACTTCCACCTGAAAATTTGTTTGTTTAATCACGCTGTTTTTCGTTATTCGTGTTATCACAGATCGCCTCACTTTTTCATCCTTATCATTGATAGAACCATTATTATTATTACTGAACACTAAGAATAACTGATCTCCCTCAACTTAAGTTACTGTACCAAGGCCATAGAAAACTCAGAGGACACGAATTTTCTGTGGTTGTGGGAAAAACTATTTAATTGATGTTATTGTTTGTCCAGTTTCGGGCATCAATCTTTGTGCAATCAATTAATGGCATATTGGCCAGTGGCGTAAATCGCTGACTCTGGTTTAAACCAGTGTCAGCCACTTTCTATCATGTTTATAATCCTTTTTTTATCACAACTACGTCGTGTTTTTCACCATTTATACAATGAAAACCATCTGGAGTTTTATGCATGTGACTGCAGGCAGTAATTTAATTACGCTGAAATTGATCATCCAATGAAATATTATTCGAATTACTTATTTAATAGTCGCTAGGGTGTAACCGGTGCCGCGTCCTTGGTGTTTATGCAAACTGACTTCTTTCATTTAAGTTTATAATGTGGTCACTAAGCTTAGTTGGTAGAATACGCTCAGCACCAACTCCAAGGACATAACTTATGATACTGGTTATTCCCTAGGGAACAAATCAGTTTATCCATTACGGTCCTAAAAGAGATCAATCAAGAGCTCGGGAAACTCATCAGTGACTCTCTAATTGTCGATGTGAATCTCAGGAGGGATATCAGTTCTTTCTAGGTTGTAGATACACCTTACTGATTAGCGCCAACATGCATAAATGCTAGATCCATGGTTTCCTGCCAGTTTTCTGTAACCATCTAGCATTAATAACTGGAACATCCAGATTATGAACGTCATTCAGTTGTTACTGTCACATCATTGTGTGATATATTAAGTAAACTCATGTAATATGGAATAATGCAGTCTATAACACTGCCCATATTTTACTTTAAATGAATACCAGGAAGATTTATTGATCAGATATTGCACAAGTATAACAGCAGGATATACCTTAATTAACCTCTTTCAAAAATATATCAACTGAGTACACCACATGAGCAAGTAAATTGATAAATACTGATAGAAGTGCTCAAATACGATGGTTTATCTTGTACAGTATGTTCCAATCATTATTTAAATGTATAGTCTAAATGAAAAGTTACCAAAAGTGTCCTGGCTTTTGAAGTATAATCATTTCAAACAAAAACTAGAAAATAAACCGTCAAGTAGTTAGCAAGATGCCTTTCAGTAGTCAAAATTATTAACTATCAGACTGTTGGTTCATACATCCTCTATTCAAATGGTCCATTCAATGTAAATATTTTTCTATAGATAATCCAGTGTTTATTAATCTGGATGCAGCTTTGCTATGGAATACTACACAGGGTACAACAGGAATTGTATAGAAATTAAAAATTATGTACATACGTTTGTATTAGCATTCAACGGGATTTTATCAAGAGAAAGAAGACATAATCATTGATGTTGGTCAGAAGCTGAATTGATGATGCAAGTTTCATCTAATCTAGGACTCATCATTTTGATGTACATGCTTCCTCCCAAGCAAGTGATGGCGTTTCCACTGAGACTTTAACTCAGCATTCATAGTTTCAAACAACAAGCTGTTATTCACTAGGTTAATGAACCATGATATAGAAAGAAGACATATTAAATAATCGAAATGGAAATTATTCACTATCAAACCATTGTTAACAGTTATTCAGAGGGTGAATTTCCGAATCACGCTGATATAATCAGTAGTCTTTGTTGATGACCAATGGATTATATTATTTAATGTTAATCGAAAGTATGTGAAATGGTTTTTGAGTCACTGATGATTAGTAGTTTCATCGTAATACATGAGATTGGATTTACATTGTGCACTGATACCTACACCAATGTGACAATCGCCATCATCAGCGCTAGCTAAAATCAAGTTTCAAGATTTTCATCATGAGCTAACATTGGTTAGAGAACCAGTGGAAAACCTGGGTTGGCAGCCGTCTCGTCCTAGTTCGGGTTTCTTCATCAGTACGCACCATCCGGGGCTCGAACCCAGGACCTTCTGGTTACAAGGCAAGATCTCAGATCATTAAGC